ATGACTTAAACAGGAACTTTCTAAATAGAATATCGGATGGACATCTAGATTAAACAACCATGTACAGACCATATGACAACACAAATAGTAATACGTACTTCGACCAGAAAAACCGTTGAACAATACTCTGAGACTTTCATTTTTCAGGCTACTCTGTTTTATTTAGCTGTTTTTTTTAAAACTTTTTTTTACTTTACATATATTATTAGAATAGAGTTAGATACAGAGCTTCTTTACCTATTAATATATAATTTTTAAAGCCTGACACAGGCCTATAATTGTGACTTATCAGATTTCTTTTTCTTTTTTCTCCTCCATTTCGTCTTTGTTTTTGTTTTTAGTATTAGTTTTTGTTTTTTTTTTAGTATTTCTCCTTTTAGTATTAGTATTAGTATTAGTAAAAAAATTTTTTTTTCTTTCTACTTTTCTACGAAAAGATATCATCAGATTGGCGATATTTTATTGTAGAGCGGTGGTCTGATAGTGCTCTCTCTGAGAGAGATAGTTATTTCTTTTTTGAAACTTATCATGACATATTCATATGGATGTATCTGCTCAGTGTAGCCGATTGCTTGTAAGTGCTCTCGAAGTAACTGCGGGATGCTACTTCTCAATATTATTAGGAAACCCTTTTGTATACCAACAATCGAAATATAATAAAGGAGACTAAAGACAAGATGGCCTAAGTAGAAAAAAAAAAAAATACAAGACTAAAGGTTTTGGGTCTTGTAGCTTATTGGTTAAGCTCTCAAACCCCACAAACAAGATCAATGGTTCAAGTCAGGCTGAAGGCAAATTGAATAATTTGTTTCTATAACTTTTGGGAACTATAATTGAATGTGAAGCTCTGTGGCTAAGTCCAAGTACAGGTATGAAGCTAGAATAGAAATTCCTGAAAGAAGACCTAAATATAGAGCATTGGTATTACGTGTAGCTACGATATTACAAAAGACTGCAGCTATAAAGATTGCGCAAATAAGTCCTTCAGAGACAGGATAGTACTAATATCCTTGTATCTCCAGATTTGGCAATACTAACATCTCTACACCTAACTTGTAGGATACTTGCTTGAAAGGGTGGTTAACAGATTGCACGAATAAGTTCTTATCTGGAAAAAAAATACAAGTACTTGCTTGGGAGGATGATCGATATAACCAAAGTTGGAAGTAGTAAGAAAAGTAGTGAATATGTGGATGGTTTGTGGTAAAGGATTGGTCTTATCAGAATCAGAAGCACCTCTGGCAATGCAAAATGTAGATACTATAGAAGGCAAAGATTATAGAGCCTATCTGATGTTCTGTATACATATAAAAGTATCGAATCAGGCTCTGGTTATACCTATATGGAAGTCTATAATGAACAAGTCTAGAATCTACTAACCTCTGGGGTTTACAATAACAAATAGTAGTACAGCATCATTGGGATCAGTGTAACTCTCTAGAAATAACCAGAATTGTCTTGGTATTGTATAACAATATACTAGAAGCAAGCATTATATGGTAGTATGGTATCACCAGGGTCAGTAAACTTTCTGAGTATAACTAGAATTGTTCTGGATGCTTGTGAAATATATTCTAAACTCACCATAGCTGGTAGTACTTAAAAGAACTGAAGAAGGTGCCAAGTAACTATATAACATTAAAATCTGAAGTATCTGTAGTTGAGCTGTAGCAGTAGGAACTGGTTTGAAATATAGGTTAGTAGTATCTGAGCAGATAAGTAGTAGAGGTTATCTGACAATGAAATACTAATACTGTCATATGGTGAACCTAACTAGGCTACAGTTTCTGGTTTGAGATACGAGTTCCTGCAGATCTTAGACCAATATCAAAATACCTTAGAGAAAACAATAATATGATACACCAAACTAGAAGATCATAAAGATCTATAACCTGAATATTATCAATTTGGAAGTTGTACAGAAACAAGGTGATAGAAGTGGGAAATATAGGCTTAGCTAGATATAGTAGTTTTAGAATGCAGAAGTAGTATTAGTATAGGTATGATCCTCCTCTACTAGCTTAGCGGTTTAATAACAATGCTTCTTCAAAGTTGAGAGGTACTCTGACCACAAGTGTTGACCTCAGTTATAGTACGCTGATGCTACAACTAGGATTGTTTGGGTATCTATAAGAGCAGCTGGATAAATATCAGGTAGCTGATTAGATTAGCATAGTTTAGTATTAGATTGTAATATAGTTCAAAAATTAAGTATGTACTTATGAATATATCTAAATAAAGGCTTTACCGGCTTTTCTAGCCAAGTTTAAAAAAAAAATACAAAACTAAAAACTAAAAAACCTATCTATCAAATTGGTACCTGCTAACCAAAATATATAATTTTTTTTTTAATATTAAAGTGATCTTATGGTTGATTGCCTTTATTAGTTTATATGCTAAGCTGATCAAGTCAGCCACTACTCATTTGGTATATGGTTTTAAAGAGTACAACTAGCCATATGTACAATTTTTAATTGTCTATTTAAGTAGTCCATCTGAGGTTCTACACTAGATACTATACCTATAATCCAACTAGAGAATTACCTATTTAAATCTCTGCTCCGCCACATCCTTATGAGGAACCAATATCTGCCATAGGAAGCTTCCTGACCTAGGGCTAATTTACTCTTGAAGTAAACTTGCTAGAGTTTTCTATACTCACAATCCGGCTAATCTAGACTTCAATAACTTACGCTAAGTCTAAAGATAGCAACTTGCGAGCTAAAGCTGCTACTATTACTCAGTATTGTCATGAGATACAGATATGAACAGCAGACATATCTGGAACGGAATGTCTGCAAACATGTCTAGAAAAATTTTTTTGTACCAAACTTTTTTGTTGATCAGTACTGATTATCAGTCAATAAAATTCTTTTCATAACCCAAATCAAGGATTTGCATAATTCTGCAATTTGATTGGTTTTACTTAGTGAACATGTCCCAGACATAGTATAGACAAAGTTAAAAATTAGTAGGATATTGTTGGTATACAATATTATGTTAGAATATTATTGTAGACATGAGATATTGTCCTGTACTATCTGTTTTCTTGCAAAATTGGTAGGATAATGTCCATGTACAATATTGCTATTACCTATTTCTGCCCTTGTAAAGTTTATCCAAACCCCAGTATCCACTTTACAGACTATCTTTCATACTTTCCAAATTTTCAAACTACCAATCCAAATAGCCCAGAAGGGTTGTGACCTACCCTGGTCCCCACGGTTGGGTCTTTTTCCTCTAGTTACTCTCTTAGTAGCTTGGTTGGTAGAGTGCCTTGCCAAATATTTCAGTCCCATTCAGATATCCGTTTTTTTAGTAATAGTCTTTTACGTAGTACTGTAAAGATCTGTGCTATCTCTTTACTCAGGTCTTGTCAAGCGGGCATCCAATTTTTCCAGTTCCTTAGATTTACTATGATCTAAAAACTTTTTGTGTAATTTATACATTGCACAAATACTCTATGATCTCTTAATCTTGTTGGTACTACCTATACATACTGATAAAATTATTTTAGATTTCGGAGTACGAAATTAAAATTTGAAGACGAAATTGTTTTGAACCTATTTTACTTAAAAGACAAAATTTTTTGATACTTTTTTTGAAGAGACGAAATTATAAAGAATATAACTACCTAAATTAGATTTGCTCTTGCATATAAAAAATTTCAAATTGCTCTAATAGAGATAAAATAGAGTTTTTTTGAAAACCTATTTCGGTGGTATATATAGTACTACCAAGGTTACAGAAATCCTGTTTTAACCGATCAACAGAAGATAGTAGCATTATACAGATAGAATTTTCAAAATTCATCACTAGTGGGTTTTGAACCCCCTATATGTTTGTTATATTTATATCACAGAGTTATCGAATATAAAAATAGTAAACAATGTTGATTTTTTGACAGAAGGTAACCAAATCCTTCACTTTTTGTTAAAAATTGGTTTTGAGAGCATTAAAACAATAAGGAAAGTTTTGATTTTGTGAGTTTTCAACTAAAAAGAATTTTTCAAAAGTTTATTATATCTTTCTGTCTTTAAACTTTTTGTGTTTTTTTTTCTACTTGCTGTTCTCAGAAACTTCTCTGGTTTGGATATTGAATGCAAAAAGAAGTCTACTCGAAGAAAAAGAACAAGGTTTAACTCCTTTGCAAACTATTCAAAATGCTTATTTTTCGATATATTATAGTTAAAAACTTCGTCAACAACAATTCATATTGAGAAAACTTCAAGTTGTTATTACCTTCTGGTCTTGAGTCTTCAACTTGTTTTAGGTACTAGTTGGTCTAAGTAATTGTTGGGAAGAGTTGTATATTTTTTTTAAACTTTTTACTAAATAAAAAATTAAATTAAAAGTTATATATAAAATTTTTTATTTTTTATATAACTTTAATCTAATCTTTTACTTAATAAAAGGTTTAAAAAACAATATTAACAAAATATAAAGTATATAGAACTATGTATTAAACAAATTTGCTTAAAAGATTAAAACAGATTATTTTAATAAAAAAAATTTTCTATAAAAAAACTAAAAATTTTAATATTAGTATATAGCAAACTTTTTTTATTAAATTAATCTTTTTTGCTCTCTAACTAAAATTGCTCAGAGTATAATTCATAAAATTTAATTTAAAGTTAATATATAAGAAAAAAACATCACAGATTCAAAGTTTATAAATAATTCTATATGTTTTTGCTATAATTTTATATATATATAAATTTATAGTATAATATATTGGTTGACTGATATAAAAAAGTTAAGAAATTACCAATATCTACAAGCTCTTTTATTTAAAATCAATTTCTAATAAGCTATATTTTGAATCATAGAAAAAGATGTCAAATACTCAAAAAAGATAATGCTCGTAAATAGACTCAATGCCATCTAACAATATTCATTATGTTTTCAACTTTTTTTCATCATAATTTGGCCTATTTTTACTATTCTAAACAAAAATCAATATGAATAACGTAGGAATGAGTTAAAAAATTATCTAATCCTTAGTCATACCTATTATTAGATACACAACTTTTCCTTAAACAATTATCCAAATGCGAGTTTATGCGTAGATTTGTAGGATTTTTAAAAATTTTGTTACATTTTGGACACTCCCAATCAGCATTTATTGACTGAACATCTATATTGTCTTCTGTACTCTCATTATCGTTGTGTTCATTCGTGGCTAGAGTATCATATACGGACAAGTTTAACCGATCCATGCCTTGATCATTGTTTTCATTCATCTCCATCGTTTTTAAACACACGTCCAGATGTTCTTTAAAATGTAGATTTGGCACATTTAAAAACAGCTTATTACAGCCTGGGCAAGTGTACTTCCTAAAAGTAGTTGGTGTAGAATACCCTTCATTTGTTACTTGAGTTAGTTCTGTGGTGAATTCACAATTTGTTGACAAATCGGTTGACAGCATTTCTGATAATTCGGGAGTAACATGTTGCCTTTTGACACTCTTTTGTTGTTGAGCTACATCTTCCCGAGCCGAAAACCACTTCAAATAAGGATATTTTATATTAGTAAATAAAAAAAATAAATTGAATTATCGATTTATATATACCCTTTTCAAGCCGATGTTTTTGACTTTCGATTTAACTAATGGTTTAAGAGCAGGTTGTGACTTTTTTGATTGCAAAGTGAGATTTTGTTGCTGAGACAACCACTAAGATTAGTCAATCAAGCAACATTATTACATCAGAAAACGACGAGAAATATCTATTATATTGATACGAAAACCAAAGTTAATTATGTTTATAATACCATTTTCAACCCATTTTCACAATCACGTGAGCTTAAATTAGACAGTCGAATCCCCAAAAGCCTTATGTTCAAAGGCAATTCGTCTGTTAATATCTATGATTAAAAGTAATTAGAGATGATTTCAATCTCAATTTTGAAGGAAATTAATCCGTTAAGATTAATAAATTTACCTGTTTTCCAATACAATATATATCATCAGCTGTATGTATATATTTTTTAATAGATCTTTCACGTGTAATCATTTTAAAATTAACTAATTTAAATGTTATTGCGATAGTTTTTCCCTACATTTTTCAAGAATAATTAATATGATGGATATACTTTTATAGTAATATATTTAATATATAACAACAATTTTTCATTACTTGAAGGCGTTCCTTTAAGAGATCAGCTGCCAGATGATCAGCCAGCTCACGAAGTTTCTTATACAAATCCTCGGGTTTACTTAAACTGCTGAATGTTCTAATTAAACGAACAGACCAATATAATCAATATACTATGAATATGCCTTGTAAACGCATTCAATTAAACCACTTTCAATAACCTTGATATACTCTTACTCTTCCGTTTATGTTCTCTAAACAAATAATTAATTATAATCGTATTAATTGATGCATTGTTACAAAGAGAATAATATACTCACGTTTTAACAATAGTCGACCCAATTCCAAGTGCAGCTCGAATGAAGAAATTGAATGAAGTTAGTGAAAACATTTGATATATGTAACCTCGATTATCAAATATTTCACCACAAGTCTTAATATCCATTTCACTTAGAATTTTTTCGGTGACTCGACCGATGCCTTAATTAAACCATAAAAGTAATTGAGAATTATACACACATAGATATAACGAAAATAAACCAACATGTTACCAGGGATCTTGCGGACAGAAAGAGGCCGGATAAAATTCATGATATCATCAACATTGTTTTGAAGTCTATACTGCCCATTTGGCTTATTTAAGTCAGAACATATTTTAGACAATAACTTGTTTGCAGCAATACCGGCACTAGCCGTTAATTTTGTTTCTTCATTTATCTCCCTCCGAATTTGTTCAACCACATCATCTGGAGAATTATCAGTTGTTTCAAGGTACTTTGTTATATCTAAATATGCTTCGTCCAGGCTCATAGGTGTATAGTCTGGATCATAACGAGAAAATATCTCGCGTATTTGTTTCGAGACTGCACGATATTTGTCAAAATTACACGGAACTATGATAAGTTCTGGACATAATTTCTTTGCAATAAACCCAGGCATCGCGCTACGTACACCATACTATGATAATAACAAGGGAGATTAATTTAGTTTTTACATAATAAAGTTTAAGACGTTAAACAAATAATTAATGCAATCAAAATCTACATTTCGGGCTTCATAATTCGAAGTGGTCAGCATAGAATTATCACCCACGGCCATTGGTTGATTGCGTAAAGAAGGATTATCCCTTTCTTCAATAGATGCATAAAATGCATCCATATCAACATGTACAATTATATGAGTTAAGTCTCTCCCACGTTCTATAGCTTGTACCAAACTATCAACTTTACTATTAAGGGTAGACAAGTTTTGCTTTTTAAGAGATTCGTATTTTTTCATCATTTGTTCAATTCTGAGACCTAAAGCTTCATCCTTTCTGGCTTCGTTAAGGTAAAATGCAGAGCTCTAAAACGGCAGACAATCCAAATACAAGCAACAATTATAAACAATATAAACAATCGAATATTTCAATGTAATATACCATATAGCGCTGCCTATAGTACCCGCCTTATTCAAATATACAAAGAGGCAATGCTATATATCGCAATAGATTTAATAATCCGATTTATGGTAATACTTTCAAAAGAATATTAGTATTTATAATCGAATAGTATTCTGATACTATACGAGGGGTTACTTTATTAGGGGGATACTGTAGGAAGGCTATTCGGTAGTTACCTTTGAAGCTTCATAGATAACTTGTTTGACTTTTTCTTTATCTATCCCCTGGAGTCCTGCTTTATTTGAAGCAAGCTCACCTATCCTACTATAACGCGATAAATCATTTCTATTATCGATTGAAACAGAAGATGGTCCCGCGTTTTCATTTTCTTGGTCATCCTCAACACATTGAAAATCTGCTACTTCAGGTTCTTCACTTAAAAAGTCTGGTGAATCAAAAATATCGCTTTCCATTCTAAAGCTGAATTAACGTGTACTAAGTATCAACACACATCTAATTTTATCAGTTATAACTGTATAATGAAACAAAGTGCTATCCCGGAAATTTCCGAATCGGAACATCAACATTTTAGCGAGGAACAGGAGGGACCGTCCCAAATAAGGGGGTCGTCTAAAGCCAGGTGTGTTCACGTGACCAACAGCCAATCAAATAATAAATTTTGATTTACCCGGATCA